CCCTCCCAATAACCCTGTAAGGTAGTTACTTGTCCTCAGTTTCCAGATCAGGAAACTGCAGCTGGGAAGGGTAAAGTAACTTGACACTCTTACAGCCAGTATATGGGAGCTCTGGCGTCTGAACCAGGTGGTGTGACTGGGAAGCCGTAGCCACTACAGTGATACCTGTCAGGTGTAAAAGAAATGATCGCCCGGCCAGCAGATTCCGGTGGGCAGGGACCGAGGGCACAGACGCCCCCTTGCTCAGGATGGGCTTGGATCTGGTAGCCCAGACGTGGTGGGCAGGAACGTTGTGGTCATTTGTTTCAGTATTTTTTAAACTTTTAAAACCACAACCCATAGACATGACAACAAGAGTGTGTGTGTGTTGTGTGTGTGTGTGTGTGTGTGTGTGTGAATTTAACAAATACTTATTATTTATGCTGGGCACAGTAACTGATGCTGGGGATACTGCAGTGAGCGGAACAGACAAGAATACCTGCCTTCAAGAAGCTATGTCCGTAGAGGAGACAGACAGTAAAAGAAGTGAAGCGCAGAGCATGTTTCGTGCTCGTAAGGGCCGTAGAGAAAAGCGAAGCTGGCAAGACCGACAGGGAGCCCTGGTGTCTCTGTGGGCAGTTTAGGTCAGGGCAGCCTCCCTGGGGGATGATGTACAGTAAGGACGGAAGGAGGCGAGAGCAGGAGACATGTGGGGAAGAACATTCTGGACCCCGGGACTGAACGGGCAAAGGTCCTGATGCAGCAGCACGTGTGGCACATTCATGGTGCAGCAGGTAGACCAGGGCGGCGGGGGCGGAGTGAGCGACAGTAGGGGGTCCCCCACACACGCACACACTATATGAAACCGACAACTGCATCTATTCACCGAAACAGTTTCCTCTATTCACTGAAACAGAAGTGTAAACAACAGTATCAAAATGTGATTTTATTAATGTTATAATAGATTTACAAAGATCTCAAATAAGCAGTTCATAAACAAAACAAAACGCTGCCTGGCCATCCCCCTTGTTGATTTTATGACTCACCAGTGGGTTTGAGAACTGTCCCTTGAAAGCCGCCAACCCGGCTTCCCACTCGGCCCCTGCGTTTCCTTTGCTAATGCATCATCACCGCCTGGTGTTGAAGGGCTTGGGACACTTCCAGGAGGCAGCGGGATTTTGTGGAAAGCGTGTGGGACGCACACTAAGCCAGATCTGGGTTCCAGTGCGGCTCCCCGCTTTTAGCTGGGTGACTGTGGGCGCATCCCTGCAGCTTTCGGAATCTCTGTGGCCTGGCATATGAAATGGGGGTTGTCGTGAAGCTTAAACAGGTTGCTCCATGGGCCACGTTTCAGGCTGTCAACGAGTGTTTGCTTCCCCACACCTGGGGAAAGAACTTGTGCCACAGGCACAGCACCACCCAGAGGAGTCCATGAGGTCCCCAGAGCTCCCAGGAGGGCGGCCTGGGCCCCACCTCAATGGCCTTCATCTGGTCATCGTCCTGCAGAGGAAGCTGGGAAGGGAGGGAGAGCTCTGGGTTTCTGCTGTGGCCAAGCAGCTGAGGAGGGGTCTTCTTGAATTTGATACGGTCACACCTAAATTGTTCTGCTCTGGAAACCCCCAGGTCCCTATGGGGGCCTGGATTTTTTCCGGTCAGGGAGACTGCTGGAATCGGATCTGTCCATCTGTCCATCTGTGGTCCATCCACCTCCCCACCCACTCACTCATCATCCGTGTGTGAGCACGTGCTGGGGCTGGGTGCTCACATGGACCAGACGGTCCTGTCCTCAAGGATGTCAGGCTGGGAGGGGCAGTTATATTACAGCAGGTGACATTGTGTAACAGAAATACCAGGCACTATGCCAAGTGCTCTATCTATTTCAATGAGGGGCGATTTTGTCCCCCAGGGGACATTTGGCAATATCTGGACACGTTTCTGGTTGTCACAGCTGGAGGGTACTCCTGCTGGGCAGAAGTCGGTAGAAGTCGGGAACGCGGCCACAACGAAGACCAGGCAGCCTAACGTCCACAGTGGTGAGGCTGAGAAACCCTGAGCTGTGTCTCAGCTCATGTGCACATCGGCCTCATGGCGTAGGTGCTGTTTTCATTCTCCAACTTACAGAGGAGGAAACCAAGGTTCAGAGAGGTGAAGTGACCTGCTTAGAGCTGCACAGCTGGAAGGGGGCCCACACAGGACAGGCTGGGCCTGAGGCTCACGCTCTCAGTCGTGTTGTGTGAGCTGCAGCAGGGCGGCTCACGGCAGCCCAAGGAGGGGTGGTCAGCCTCGTGGACTTTAAAAACCAGACCACTCTGCCCTTTGGTTTGGGAGCAGGTTTGCAGAAGGTAAGGGGAGGGGCTTAGTGAACGCGCTGGAGGTTCTGTCCCGCCCCAGATTCTAGAAAAGAAGCCTTCTAAGGAAGAGGACTGGAGACCCCAGATGGGTGACGTGGGTGGACATGCGAGGGCTCGTTATGCTCTTCAGGACAGAAAATCTACTTCTTCACTTGTTTACAAAAGTTGCCGGGCTCTTACCTGGGGCCAGGCCAGAACCTGTCCCCTGAAAGGGGACAGTACAAGGGACTGCTTTTAGGGACCTGAGATTGGTAGTAGAGTACAGATGGGCACAACACACATANTCATGTCCTTTACATTTGCATCTGACCCATGAGGACAGGAGGCACAGGGAGGGTGAATACCTTCCCGAGGTCTCGCCACTGGAGGGCAGCAGATCCAGCGTC